TGTGGTACGAGTGTCAGGACCGTTTGTGTGGAAGGATGTGTGTGTGACGAGTATGACAGAGAGTCGCGAAAAAACAATCAGTAGGTAAATGACAGTCATTACATATAGACGTTGTGTGTGAAAGAGTCCTCGAGAGATTATATCGCAGTTAGAAGCGAATTTATTTTACGAGATTTAGTTATAATTTATGTTGCGCTGTTATTGTGTTAAATAAATCTTCTTATTAGTTTATCCATTTGCTCGCAATAATTTTGTTAAAATAACTGGGATTTGTATGGATATGTAGGATTTATAGTGTGAGAGGAGTCTTTATTTTGATCCAAGACACGTGGCTTAGGCACTAGTCGCTGATTGGGAACCTAAAAATTTGGAAAATTTTCAAAAAAGTTGTTTCTTGGGAACAATTTTTCTTATTCCATCATCTTCAACTTCGTGATTTTTTGTTGAACTTATTTGAAGCTCTAAATTTGTTAACTGTAGTTAGTGCAATAGCCACATTGTTCACCTTTACCCGCCACAGTTTTTCATCTCTTGCAGATTTTTTCTCTGCGCTGTACCCTGTCCACCATTAGGATCCGCTCCATTTTGCAGATGATTAATTCAAGATTTTTTTCCGGACATTTCTATCGCGATATTTTTACCTCAATTTTTTTGTCATTAGTTTAAGGTTGAAAGTAAAGTCTGCGAAAAATTTACACGGACACCTTCTTCCAATCATTCTCTATGAATTTTTAAAGACAGGTTACGATAGAGGTTATGTCATACTGGTCTCCTCTCGTAAGAGAAAATGGCGACCAAAAATGAAGTTTAACCAATGTTGCATATTTTTTTCATATATTTCGTATATTATAACACATTACACTTGCATAAATATAGTAGGTTTAACGATAAGCAGTCACGACACTTATATATGTATATATGTAGGATCGCGTTTGGGTGGATTATGAACTCTACCATAAATATTCTTTGCAGTCAATCCTCTTGCACACAGTCACTTTCATTCTAAGTCCAGACACACCTGACATTCTTTTAGGGCCGTACTTACTCCAATCCTACATATATAAGTATATAGTATAATGTATTAGAGGTTATGACACACTGATCTGTTCCCATAAGAGGAAATGGCGACCAAAAATGAAGTTTGACCAGTGTTGCATATATTTTTCATATCTTTCATATATTATGACACATTATACGTGCATAAATATAATAGAATTAACGTTAATCAGTCACGAGACTTATATACATATATATAAGAATATAGTATAATTTATTAGAGGTTAT